AAACCACCCATTGAAATGTTAACAGTGTAGCAGTTTAGATGGACACTAGGTTTTTCTTACAATTTTAACAAGCATTAAGTCAGTTCCAGGTATTTCAGGATTTGCAGGTTTTACAGGTAAAGCGGTTTTCGCCATTAATAAACCTTATGGAAGGTGGCGTACGTTAACAGCTTCTTGTAAAAACCTGCAAATCATGAAGTACCTGTAACATACTTATTAAAAAGAGAAACATCGGAAAATATCGATGTATCGATAGTTTTGGGGCGATTTTTTTCGGCATCGATGTTAGTGTTTACGATACATCGAAATATCGATGTATCGATGTTGGCTCTGAAAATTTGCATCCCTAGTCCTGCCCTAGGACATCGCAATGTTAATTGGATCATATTTTTTATATGAATTGTGGTTAATTTTGGGTACTCCTTGGTCCTTAGGGAATACTCTTTACACGCAAGCATGGGTAGGGACGTTCCGATACCATCAAAGTATCGATCCTACTCAAATGAGTTTACTCAAAGCGCTATTTCGATACTACTTATATGAGTGAACCGAATGTATCGATACCTACTTTTATCGATAACTTTTCATCCTTTTATATGCAACAAAGCGAAAGTAATTTTCAGGCGTTATCTGTGACATTTTGCGATACCTGAGTGGTAGATCGACCTATATCGGCAGCCAGTTTGAAAACGCCCTATCTGAGAAAACTTTTCAAAAGAACCTTATTCCAGAATTTGATTGAAAACGCCTTATATCAGAAAACTTTTCAAGACTACCCTCCCTCAGAATTCGGTACAAAAACCCCCTATCTCAGCTGCCGATTCAAAACGCCCTATCTCAAATATTTTCAGTTGAGGTATCGATATGTTTATTTGATCATTAGTAACATTAGAAGTAATACGATTACTTAGACAAAAAATTAAACCTTTGAAAGGTTCCCACAAAATGTTACGGCTACAAAGCATTGCTTGCACTTTGTAAAAATATATCCCCACTTTAGATTTTGGCGGTGCCATTGCTTAAAGCAATTATTTTTCATAAAAACGAAGCAATTATTAGAAAAAATATGAGCGAAAGATATGACACTTCCTCAAATCGATTCGATACAAGTACTTTTATTTCGATACCAAGTAGGTATCGATAAAACGATTCAAGTAAAAAAAGTAGTTGGTATTGAAACAAAAGTATCGAGTACATACTCGTATTTACTTATATCGGAACATCCCTATGCATGGGGTAGCCGCGGTTTTTGCAGGGACACGTTCAGCTACAGCCAGACATGCGAATGTGCTTTCAAATGCTCAACTTCAATCACATTTCGTTAAAACAGGAGCAGTGATCGGGTAACAAACAATATGTTGGCATGACAGAGGAACACTTTTGTAAGTACTCCAATATACCACAAATAGACTACATGGTCCAACGATTTTTGCAGGGTAGCGTCACGTCAGATACTTCGGCTGATAAAAAAAAAAAGGGACAGATTTTTACATTTTGAAATTTGGAAAATTAACTTTAAATATTTCAAATATTACTACAAAAAGTTTTATACAAATGGTATTGCCCAATTCCCAGAGTTTTAAATTTTGACGACTTCATTTTTTTCTAATATTTTTAATATTTTGTCGATACGATACAAGGGTTCTGGTACTCGATTCCAAGAACTATCGTTTGAAAAGTTTCGAGTAAAAAGTATCGGTATCGAGTGGCAAAAATATCGATCTAGTATCGAAATTCGTGTCCGTAATAACAATAATGATAGTGTACAAGATTTCGCATTCCCGGTGGTGATGATATTTCTCAAGTAAAAGTAAACAAAGCCGAATGGGAGGAGAAAAGAAAATGTCTAACAGCGAATTTTCTCAATTTATTAATATTAAATTTTTCTTGAAATTGAATTTCGCTTGAAAAATTTAGAAAATATGCTATTTTATATCCAAGTACATAATTACAAATATTTTAACAGGGAACAGCTCAATTTTCGCGGTTATAATAAAATAATAATGATGTTGCAGCCCCGAAGTTTTCGTGCAGAAGAAAATGTAGTTGTCACACTACCAAATTTCCGGCAATAGATGGCAAGATATAAGCTCTGATATATATTGCTCTTGAAGAGCAATTAGCGGCCTCCATTGGCTATTTATATTCTAAAGCTTTGGTTTACTCGAAAAGCGGTGCCGTAATATTACGACCATATCATACCGAACGCCATTCTTAACGCTAATAGCGGTACCGCTATTATGTAATGGGCTGTTTTTGCTTACGCGTAAAAGCACATTTAGCGCATTTAGCTCTAAATGCTACTGTAAATGTACATTTATCCATACAAAATTCGTCACCTAAATGCAATTAAATGCAACTCCATTTTTGCATTAAGAATCTAAATGCTAAAAGCAACCCTGTGATCATCCAACATTTCCACGATTCGAACATGGTTTAATGAGAAAAAGTGGCAACATTGCATTTTCGAGTATATAGTGGCTAGCTGCGTTTCAGTGATCGCCGATCGAGATTTCATTTATTATTTTACATTATTTGGATAAAGAAAAGTTAAGAAAATTCAATATCGATGTGATGCTGATAGAAATCTGGATCAATTTGTGATCAATTCTGTTTGTTTTGTTTCCTAATTAAGTGAGGAAATATTAATTGACAGCACCGACAAATGAATATATACATAAACAAATGGTCGACCATGGTTAAAACAATTCAAATTTTTGTATTGAAGTTTTGGTTTAAAATTTATTTTTTCCTTTTCGGTAGGGTTTTTGCACATTATCTTTTGCGTGAGAATTGATCGTAATAGATACGGATCTGAATAAGCGACTGGAACACGGCTGTTTGTCAAAAGCATACGATTTCGAACTCGCGTAAATGTACATTTGCTAAATGCGATAGCATGAACGCTCTTCGAAAACATATGTTCGAAAGTGCTAAATGTTGCATTTTAAATGCAGCAAAAACGCTGCATAAAGCTAAATGAGCGTAACGTAAATTTGCGCTTTTATGTTGTACAGGCATTCATTGCTTTTCACAAAGTTTATTAGGACTTCATCCTCTTCGGCCATCCTTAGACTTTCCACTTTATTATTCAAAATTCATAGAAATGTATATTTAATGCTTTTATTTTGGCCAAAAGAATTGTAAACAAATTTTCTAATACACTGCTACAAATATGACGTTGCCAAAAACATTGATAAATAGTTATACACCGTCAATGTTGTCGTAAGAAATATTGCGGTGCCGTCAAATTACATTACAGTGTTTATTGCCGTCATCTTAGTTGACATCTTGCAATATTTACATGGCAACGTTTTTGGCAACGTAAAGTTGCGACCGCTTTTTTATGTTACCGCTTTCGAGGAAACCAAAGCTTAACATATGTATCAACAAAAACAACATATGTATCAAGATATAAACTTTATCCTGTGGAGACGGGCAGTAAGGGAAGACCCCTACCATTACTAATAAAGTGAAAAGAGTGATGAATAATGTAAATACGATTCTTAACATCCCCACCAAGTTTCATGTAAAAATTCGTAATAGTTTTGAGAAAACACCCAAAAACCGATTTGATGGAAAGCTAGAAGGATTTCATATATGGTTTGATGCATACCGTTATTTTTTTCGCTCTAGTAGCCGACGGGTTAGTCTTGTCCCATATCTTTTTTGTATTTCACCAACCTATTAAGATATGGTTTAATATGGGAAATGTTTCGTGCAGTGAAGGTGCAAGTGCAAAGTCGGTGGTAAGTGAAACGGTGTGGCAGCATTTAATAAAGTGACAACTTACAGGTGCCCCAAATTTGCTTAGTTTGCAAATAGAAGTCCTTTATTTTGTATTCGTCATGTTTGCATTGGAATGAAAATATACAAGTTTTCAGTGAATTTACGTCCGCAGTTTTTTCCATAGTTTTCTCGATATATAAAGTTATATCAAAGCAAGTTGACAACATGTCGCGCCAGATGAATGGTGGGAACATGCAGCACAATGAGATAAATATCGATCAGCCACAGGAATTGTGTTTCGAGAAATGTACTGCCATATCGTTGACATAATCTAGGTACATTTGTTTTATCATTTCGTATATTTCACTCTAGGCCCAGAAAGCAGTGAGGAGCAACACAAACGGTTGGAAATCGAACGTTTGCTACAGGAACATAAGAACTGCATACCATTTCAAAAGCTTCAGGAGTTAGCACGTTCAGACCACGGACTCGTAACTGATGAGCTCCGGCGATTGTTATGGCCGCAATTGGCTGGTGTGGATACATCAAATTTAGGTCCTGCACCAAGTCTCAGTGATTTACAAACTCATCCCGAATACCAACAAGTGGTGCTCGATGTAAATAGGTCGCTTAAGCGTTTCCCGCCTGGCATTCCATATGAGCAACGTATAGCATTACAAGACCAACTGACTGTTTTAATATTGCGAGTGATAAAAAAATACCCAAACTTGCGTTATTATCAAGGTTATCACGATGTAGCGGTGACGTTCTTATTGGTCGTTGGCGAAGAGGTAGCATTTGCGGTTATGGAAGAGTTATCAACAAACCACTTTTCTGAGTGTATGCAGGAAACAATGGATGCTACGCAAAAACGTCTCATGTTTATATGGCCACTAGTAGATTTCGAAAATCCGCAACTATTTCAGTTTCTACAAGAATCTGCTGTAGGTACACTATTCGCGTTACCCTGGTATTTAACTTGGTTTGGACATAGTTTGAATTCGTATAAAGATGTGGTGCGACTATATGACTATTTCTTGGCATCCCCCATTTACATGCCTATATTCGTGACTGCTGCCATAATATTACATCGAGCTGAAGAAATATTGAAGGTCGACTGTGACATGGCTTCAGTTCACTGCCTTCTGTCCAAGGTAATACCTAAAATTTAATTTTACGTTATAGGATATGGCATACATTGCAACTCGACTCAAAACGGGTTTTAGGAGTATAATCAAACTTGTACATATGTATATTAAATATTCTTTAAATCATAGCTTCCCGATGATCTGCCTTTTGAAGAGCTTTTAAAAACATCTTCCTTTTTATATGACAAATATTCATTGACTGTAATTGAGAAACATGTTGAAGAACTAATTAGAAGAGAGTAAGTTGTTTTAATTAGTCTGCATTAGAATCATCTAATTTACTTTTTTCATTATAGAAAACTTCAAAGGCAGTTGGAAGAAAAACGCATTCAAGAGCGAAGAAAGCAACTTGCTCGCAATGCTCGCGCCGGTAATAACGCATTTGCTCGTTGGTTACCGCAAGTTCTCACTCCAAAGTCAATGATAGTAACAACAGCATTCTCAATTCTTGTTGGAATTTGCGCATACTACTACAAAAACCAGTATCTATCGGCAGGAGTTAGTTGAGTAAGTATTTACATGCAGCAAAGCAAAAATCATGCACTGCGGCATGCTCCTGCCCCAATTTGGAACTGGATGATCGGCTTTTCTTTTTAATAAATGCATACAAAATGTATTTATAAGTAATTTTAATCACTCATAGGCAAGGTTGGAAAAATACGTTCACTATATTATACTATAAGTTTCTTATTGCTCTTCTTAGCTGGTACATTAAGGATATTTTTATTATTTTTTGGTTTAATTGTAGTTCACTTATGTGTATTGATTGATAAGAATATTGTTATATATATTATATTTGTTATGCAAGAGTGGTGATTAAGAGCGTAAACATAAAATTACATAGCATAGAGCTTCTTAGCAGCTATGCCCATGCACATTCATTACCAGATATATTCGTATGAACCCGATGTATTTATATAACACAAACATATTGCAATGTAAATTTTAATCGAAATTAATGCGCATAGAATAAATTAGAAGGAAATGTTAATATTTCAAAAAACATTTGTAGTTATTTCGCTATTTGGAAATGGAAAATAGTGCTTTTTTATTTGCTCAAGGTAAGTACGAATGTTTATATAAACCTACTTAGTGTTATCTATATAAAAGCAGCTATTTACAAATTGCACACCCCCTGAAATAGAGGCTCAACTAAAAAACGAAAAAAAAAAAATTAGCCAGATTTTTTTGGCATACATCAAATTGTGGCATTTATCTCCATTTTATACACCTATTGTGCATCATATTTTATGTACGCTCATATTCTTGGACCACTATAGATACATTTCTTCGTATAATTTGTTTCGAATCTGTACGATCTTCGGATCTGACTTTTAAATTGTGTCTCTTTTGAAAAGGGGGCGTAATATGTAAAGTCAACATAAACAGTTGGAATTTTCACAATTCTAGTCATGACCTTATTGTGACTGTTAAATGTCCGACATTTTTGTTAGTTGTCCTTGACGATTTATACATTCGATCCCTTCAATTGCTTCGTTCAGGTGACTTGCGAGAGTTGGATTTTGGAACGGTTTGTGCACTGATACTTTCGGTGTTATCTTCTCGCACTCTTAAAATGCACAAATGACACTTGGAAGTGCAAAAATCGCAGGATATTAGAAATCTGCCTAACAAATTTTATTTTTCTCTGTGGCTAAAGATAATTCTAAAGTAGCAATAAATTCATTCAATTTGTCTGGATCCATTTCAAAGCTCAATTTACTTAGTTTACCATTTGCATCACAACAGTGGAAATATATTCGGACCAATTCCCGAAAATTTTGCGCGAAGCTACTGTCACCGAGTACAACACGTGCGTCGTAGTCAAATGACAATACCAATGGATGATCTTGAGCATTATGCAGCTGCATCATATACTTTCCAATTTCTGATTTACGCGCCTCGTATACAGCTGGTACCAATCGCTGGAATTCGGGACTTAAATTGTTAAATTCATAAAGCAATTCCGCTTCTGTGGCATTCTCATTCTCGTAGTGAGATCTGTAGACTCGGGCAATCTTGCGCGTCAGCAACATGAAATCGTGGACATTTTGGAATCCGTACTTGTGACAATGTTTCTCCATTTGGTGCTCGTCACTATTACCAAGGAGTACATCTATCGAGTAGTTCAGAATCTAGCAAGAAGTGTTAATCCAATACGATTTCTGCTTTTGAGAGTAACATACATACCTCATAAAGAATTTCTTTATTATCGATATTTAATAAAAGTGGACAGCCTAGAAATGTATAACCGAGTGACATATTTCTAGTATGCTTTAATGATTAAAACTGCTGATATAAAAAATATAATTATTTATTAAAAAATTGTTAATCCTTATTTATCAACAGAAGTGGTGTCAATGCCATCTGATTTTGTTTACTATATGAAAATCACGAGCCGTCTAAATGAAATTTGACGGCGTTGTTTACTAGTACAATTGTCAACGGAAGTGAATTCTTCAAGGAGCCAAATGCAAAATAAAGGTGCGGTTAAACGTGGCAACGCAAGCGCTTTTCTATGCATTTCGCTGTCAAAATTTGAAATCGGAAGTCCACTTTCTCGTGCAAACAGCCAGAAAGTCCTTTTTGCAGATTTGCAAAACTACCACTTTCGGAAATAAAGATTGCAAGGTGTAACTACAACTGCAACTGCGCAAATCGCTTTCGAGAAATAATTTCAACTCGTGCCGCACTAGCAATTTTAATTTTTGCTGTAAGTGCTGTCAAACCAATCGAGTGTTACTGTGTGACGCGCTTTTTGCCGAATTTCTATAAGATTATCAAAATGATGCATCACATTTAAATAAATACTTGTAATTATTGTATTCTCCTGATGTGAACAATATAAATATTAGCTGCGTTTGGTTTTACACGCATATACATCTACGCTTAACTTGTAAAAAAAAACTATAACTGACAATTTCCATTTCAAAACAAGTAATTTTGATTTTATCGACATTTATTCGTAAGCGCACATAAAGTTTTTTCGCGAGCTCCATACAAATTTAAGCTATTAAAGCATTAAATATTTTGTGGTTCTTTTGTTCACATTTTGTGGTATTCATCTAAACCGATAACTTTATCAAGCAGATAATCTTATAAGTTTACACACTCTGTTACACGAGTGACCCAGACTCTCTTTTCGTTTACTTACTTAAGCTGCCTTTACATGACGCGATTTTCCAGGCGATTCAACATTGCTCTGGAAAAATCGCTCGGGTAAATGGTGATTTAGAAATCGCTTGCCTCAAAGTATACTTTTGCAGGCGATTATCACCTCTCAAAAAATCGCCTCATGTAAAGCTGTCTTTAGGGTTTACACCGGACAATACTATCATGACAATAAATGCATACTTTGCCATTGGAACAATTTTGACAACTAATACGTATATCTTCATTGTCCTGACAGCAGTGATCGGACTTCTACCACAATGTGCTAGATCTGCAACATTTTAAACATCTATCACATGAACCAACGACTACAGATCACGTAATCCGCCATCGTTGTATTTGTAATCGATTTTCAGAAAAAAGTTTTCGTAGCGTTTTTGATGTTTTTTGGTTCTGTTTACATCGTCTTCTACCTCTTCGTAGTGATATTTTAGCGATTTTATGTGTTTTCTGCAGCGGTTTTAATTAGAAATTTTGATTTATTACAAATTTATGATATAATATGAAGTGCTTTGTGATTGGAACAAGTTTGTGCGTCTGTTTGATTTGCCAAGAGGCGTAAATTTGCGTGAAAAGTGGGTGCACATTTGTGGTCAGAACGTTGGCATTGAAAAATCGGCCGGTGCCGATAATATGCGATTGTAAAACACTCTCAATCATTAAAACCATATTTTATGAACTTTTTTTGCTAATTGTCATCAAGTTTCACTTTTTATATTTTATAATAAATACAAATCCAATCGCACTCAATAATCGCGCCTTTTTCGTTTTCTTTGTTTGTTTTCATTTTTAGGCAGATGTCAAAAACGCTCAGAAATTTACTTTTTTCATTCTTTTCCGATTGCGTGATCTTGTTAGTTGGTTCATGATCTATCACATCTACCACACAAGGTCTGAAATCTACCACATATTCGCATTTTTGAGTAGTTTTATTTTTGCTCGACATAATTTTCTTAAGTTTAAGAGCAAGAATTGCCCAACACTAAACAATAACAACAGGTAGAATGGGATTACAAATAAACTGTAATGGGCTGTTTTTGCTTACGCGTAAAATCACATTTACCGCATTTAGCTCTAAATGCTTCTCTAAATGTACATTTATCCATACAAAATTCGACACCTAAATGCAACTCCATTTTTGCATTAAGAATTTAAAAGGTAAAAGCAACCCTGTGATCTTCCAAAATTTCCACGATTCGAACATGGTTTAATGAGGAAAGTGGCAACATTGCTTTTTCGCGTATACAGTGGCTAGCTGCGTTTCAGTGATCGCCGATCGAGATTTCATTTATTATTCTACATTATTTGGATAAAGAAAAGCTACGCAAATTCAACATCGATGTGATGCTGATAGAAATCTGGATAAATTTGTAATCAACTCTGTTTGTTTTGTGTCCTAATTAAGTGAGGAAATTTTAATTGACAGCATGGACAAATGAATATATGCACAAAAAAATGTTCGGTTATGGTTAAAACCATTCAAGCTTTTGTATTGAATTTTTGGTTTTAAATTTATTTTTTCCTTTTCAGTAGGGTTTTTTGCTCATTATCTTTTGCGTGAGAATTGATCGTAATAGATACGGATCGGAATAAGCGACTAGAACACGGCTGTTTGTCAAAAGTATACGTTTTCGAACTCGCGTAAACAGAAAGGTTTGTTTGATGTTGAAATTGTACTTAAAATCGGAAAATTGTACTTTTCTACTTTTTAAAACTAATTGTACAGAAAAAAGTACAATTCTACTTAAAATATCAACACTGGCGGGATCCCGCTTGCGTACGGGAAAAAACCTTATGGCGCGTATTCATAGTCCAGCAACTAAGTCGAAACTAACAAAGTTGACTAAATTTAAGTATCTCTATTCATAGTCGCATTTCAGTCTTCTACTAAGTAGTTTCGACTTAGTTTACGATATAGCAAACCGAGTGTGAAAATGTATCGATTTTTCTTTACGATATTTTGGAAAAATTACATTTTTATTAAATAATGTCAAGTTTGATCATCAGTTTATGAAATCTTTTATTTTCATTGCATGATTATGCAAAAAATAAGGTATCATTTTCTTGTTAATTGTGTGAAATAGCCAAAATATCCGCAGTGATGTGAAGTCGATGTTTATCGAAAGCATGCTGTGAAACATACAAATAGTAGATATCTAAATGTTATGCACAAATTTACTTTAAAAGAACTAGCGTGAAACTGACTTATTATTTGAGAATTTATCTAAATTATTCCAATTATAAAATTGTGATGTAGCTTTATTCGAATTGTAATACGCATTTAATTTCATCTTCCGATTAAAATGGATCGATCTTTGTAAATTTTAATTGGAGATTATTCAATACTAGCAGATATATTTTATTGAATCTTTTTGGTCCAACATTTTCACCAACAATTCACGTTTACGATTTTCATTTGTCTGCTAAGATTAAGGTTTGGTGGTCATTTGCCGCTTTAAATAACCTAAGGAAAGTGTTATATCCGTTCTTGAAATTCTCCAGTTGTGCGGCATTTCATAGCACGGTTATTCGCAAAGCGATATAAATTTTTTCCTCTTCACTCCCTGGCGGCAACAATGACCCGGTTCTATAGTGAATGTCCTAGAAGCTTTACAGGATAGTAGGTGGCAATTTCAAAATGGGTGCGAATCATTGTTCTACAGAAATGCAATATACATATACTTATTTCAGACGAAATACCTTAAAAGTTTGAACGCATAATAATATTGGAAAATCACATCCATTGGGCCAATTGCAACGCAGGAGCGTTCGATATACTCAATGGTGCAACAGGTCGATTTAATCTAACCTGCACGGCCCCTTTTCTCACTTGGCTATTTTTAGTAATAGCTCGACTTCGAGCACCACTTGGCAGCACGTTTTTGCAATAGTATTGCATACATATTTAAAACATTAGCCAAATCGGATCATAAATAAGAATTTTTAGTAATAACTCAACTACAGCGCCAACTGTCGGATTAAATTGTGGAACTAAACCATCCAGACACCTACTCAAATACACAAAAAGTTTCGTTAAAATCCGTACAACCATTTAGGAGGAGATCACTCACAAACACACCTACAGAAGAATAAAAAAATTCATTCAAAGATAGCTAAAGGTCGACGTTTGTAGGCCTCACACCCCTATTCAAATAGCCCAAATTTTCTCCATGAGTATGGGCTTGATTTCAACTATATACATATCTCCATACGAAGTTCCAGTACTGTACCATGAATACTTTCAAGATATGCAGTATAAAAATTGGATTTATATGGAAGGTGCCACGCCCCCCTTTCCAAGAGATGCCCTCTTTCTTCATGAGTATGCGATTGATTTCGTATATCTCTATACCAAGTTCCAGAACTCTACCATGAACACTTCCAAAATAGGCAGTATGAAAAATTCGGTTTGTATGGAAGATGCCACGCCCCCCATTCCAATAGTTCCAATTTTTCTCCAAGAGTATGCGATTTATTTCGTACATCTCCATACAAAACTCTAGAACTCTACCAGAAAATTTCCAGAGATAAGCAGTATGAAAAATTCGGTTTGTATGGGAGATGTCACACCCCTTTTTACAATAGCTAAAATTTTTCTCCAAGGGTATGCGATTGATTTCGTATATCTCCATACCAATTTCCAAAACTCTACCATGCACACTTTCAGAGATATGTAGCATGAGAAATTCGGTTTGTATGGGAAGTGCCACGCCCCCTTTACATATAGATTTTTTTAGCCTAAAACGATCCTTGGGACACGTGCGGCAGGTGGCAGTTTCAAAAAAATCGGTTCAGCCGCTCTCGAGCTTTGCGAAAACTAACAAACGGCTTTCTAAATATATATTAGTTGAGATATATTATATATTATAATTATATTTTGGCAGTATCCGTTGTTTCTGATTGGCGCAAAAAAATCTTGCCTAGTGACGAATTCGCCCCTTGATATGGTCGTTACTTAAAGCTATTTATATTCGAAATTGCATGAAAATTGGAAAACAGGAATCTATAAGATTATCCAGGCAAAAAGCTACCTACGTACCGAATTTTAAGCAAATCGGACCATAAATACGATTTCTTCGAACAGATCGGTCCCTGGTCCACTTCTCGGACAAAATGGATCATATACGCTAATATATGCTAAAAAGCTACCTACGTACCGAATTTTACGCAAATCGAACCGTAAATACGATTTTTTCGAATAGATCAGTCCCTGGTCCACTTCTCGGAAAAAAT